ACCCCAGCTACAGCCTTTATTTTACGCTGCTGATTATCTAAGAGTCTGGAGGGAAAGTTATATGCAAAATGTTTTATGGCATCATTGCTGCGTCTAATGTATATTTTAACTGCTGATTAGAGTGTCTGAAGAGCCTCATTCCTCTAAAAAAGAAAAAAGATATTTGTCCTCCTAGCAGCTCAGCAGCAATCTTAGTTTGAGCTGTCATCTTCATCAACTGCAATTACGCTGATTATCGGGACATTAAGACTGCATTATAGGGAATCCCCAATCAACAATTTTGACACAAACTTTTTAAAAAAAGCTTTTTTCCCCTTCAACGTTAGTCATTTCTTACTGTTGCAGAATTCTTCTGAAGAGTTTTGGTCCAGATTTTTTTTAAATGTCTGGTTTCTGTCTTATTATGTCTTTGCACATATGCAGTTTATGTGGACAGAGATGACCTCTACCATGAAGTTCTTCAGGCACATGTAGGAAACCGTTACCTGTTGGGAGGAACTGAACAGAGCCCAGTCGCTACATGATTTAAGTCATTTTGGATCCAGGACAAAGTACAGTCCTCACAAGGATAAAAGCAGGTTGTCGAGAGTGACAAGAAGTGCAGTTACTTATATTCACAAGCTGTAGCAAACATATATTCAGCAGACACATCTTAAATACAGCAGTTAACTTTGCTTTTTAACACGAATATCTAATCGATCAATCAAATAGCAGCATCTCAGCACATTCAAGCAGGTAGACGTGGTCAAAACGACGACCCGCTGAAAGTGTCTTTGAATGTGGTACGGTTGGAAGACAACACCAGGTGTCACTTCTGTCGGCTAAGATCAGGAAACTGATCAGCAAGTCACACATGCTCAACAAAATTGAGCAATAGAAGATATAGAGGATATTTTCTTGCTGCACTTTGGGAGCCTTCACACCAGCTGTTTGGATGGAAAAGTCTGGATGGGTTTATAACAGGGGTAATCAGCATTTCCACCTCCTTTTTTAAATTTTGCTTCTGATCAATATACATTGTTGATGCGAGTTTTGAGATCATTTAAAGGATGATTATTAGAGATTTTAGTAGTATTGGTAAGAACTGTTGAAAGTCGGGATTCAGAAAGTGGATTTTAAAACGCTGCGGTGCTTAGACTGTGTAATTTATGTGAAAAGATGCTCTAAGTGTTGTATTTTAGTGTTCTTGGTTGTCACATATAAATCTAAAAAGATTTTTAGGAATGGTTTTGGTTGCTGATGGTCTCTGTCACCTGCTTATGAGTCAGAAAATGTTTATGAAGTTTCATCTGTGAGACTGAAGGAAGCTATTGAACCTCTCTTTTTCAGGGCATTTGTTTACGTGGTAATAAAGCTCTTTAGGAGGCACATGTCACTTTCTCACAGCTCTGCACGTATGTGTCTGTGATAAACGGATCAGTTCTTTCAGGATTCCTGGAGCGGAGCGTCTGCTGCTCATCAGTGTGTCGTAAGAGGATCTGTTAACTAGATGAAGGAAGAGGGAAAGCAGCAGAAACATCTTTAGGACTTTAGTGTTTTTAATTTTGTTTTAATGTCTTACATACACACTTACCAATAAAAGGCCTTTTGAAGTCGTGAATCATCTTAAATTCAGCTCGGATGGGTCGTAAACGTTTTAATTAAAAGAATTTCCAGAACCCACCACCACTATTTCTACACACTGAGGTTTCGTAAGAGTAGGTAACATTAGCTAGCTTTAACTCATGCCTAAAAAACAATACAAATACAAAGAGGCACAAATTCTCAAGCCAGGCGTGGGTCAGTTTAGATCGTTTGGCCTCGAGGTTTACGACACACTGATGAAAAACCCTGATGATGATTATATTGAAGAAGGCCTTGTTGGCCAGCCTGCTCGATGGCCTCAGGAAGATGTGAGTGTAACAACGAATGGCTTAATGATAAAGATTAATCTTGGTTTTAAAAGCTGGTGCCTAGAAATCCTCACGACGCAGCAGCACTAGTGTGCTGAGGTCTCTTTTTTTTTCACCTCCTACACCTCATCTTTTTAGATTTTTACTTAATACCCTGATTATTGCATTACATTTAGAATTATTTTTGACTGAGCTCTTTAAGTTTTTTCCTGCTTTCAGCTGCTATCCTCATTTTTTTTTTTTTTAGACTAATCTAGTCTTAAATTCAGCTCAGACTTATTTACACCTGCAGACATTGCGGCGATGATGACCACTCGCTGAAGCTCCTGTGCAGCAGATGTTGTCTTTCCTTTCTCTTAGTCTGACAGACGTGTGCCCTGCCTGCCTGTCTGTCTGCATTTCCACCTCATAATTGTACGGTTGATAATTTCTGGCTGCAACTGTCCCATTATACCCGTTAAGACTATCACTGGAGAGGAATGTGGTGCTTCAGGGGTGAAAGTGTTTTCACTAACCATTTGATTGGTGCTCAATTTGTGGTCTGCTTCAAAGAACCAACGGTTGCTGGTTCAGGTCCCCCGAGCGATGAATCATCCCCAAAAATGAACCTGACTTTGACTTGGATGTGGCGGCAGCTCTCGGTTTGCGTGTAGCGGGAGGTGGTTTTGTTTGGATTCTTTCGTGTTTTGCAGAAATTGTAATGTGTGCCAGACATTTTTAGAAGCTTCCGTTCACTCCTGCTCTGCTCCTCTGTGTGTCTGCAGGCCGACCTGTTTCCTGGTGCGCTCGTGTACTTCGGCTCTGATGTCAAGACAGGTTTTTGTCTGATTTCCTTCTTTCATATGCTGACTTGGATTAGATACTGGTGTATTATCGAGGAATGTAATGTAACAAAACAATAGCTTACTGTGTGTGTGTGTGTGTGTGTGTGCGCGTGCACGTTTCCTCCACAGATTTTTACATGAAGAGAGAACTGCTCGAATCCCCCGTCTCAGCCGTACAAGCAAACGAGTCCATTGCAAGGTATGTGCACGTGTCCGTGTGTGTTTTAAATGTGCAGTTGGTTGTGTGTGTGTGTGTGTATATATATGCATTTGTATCCCGCAGCAACCAACCTATTTTCCTGTCACAAAGCTGTCATCATTGGAATCCCTTTGAGGTTGTGCCTAAACAGCAGGTGCCCCCATGCGCCCTCATTTCCTACACACGCATACAGATTCTCTCTCGCTCGCTCACACACACAAACACATACACGCACACCATTTTCCAGTCTGTCTAAAGATAGAGCCAGCTTCCCAAAAGTCACCCCCACCTGTTGTCCTTCAGCTCCATTAACAAAGCCTCTGTTTCAGATCACTATCTCGTTTAGCTTCAAGCTCAGGGTTAGTCAAACTTAAATTTTTCCAGCATGTGTGATTCCTCATAACTTTAGAAGTAAAACACAGAGCTAGATTTTCATAGGTTTTAAAGATGAAAAGCCACATTTTTGCTTTTCTTGACGAGTATTTTCTTTCTGACCAACCTTGAACTTCACTGTGATGGAATACATCCTAGTTTCAAAAGCAAAACTCCACCTATTTAAGCAGGATGCACTGGGTTTATTGGTGTAGGTGTTATCCAAGGGTCTTGGTATGCATCCTACTCAGACATGGTGGTGTGCAGTCCTCCAGAAAACCAGCAGTGATGGTTTATAGCCCAGTAAAACATATCAGAGTTCATGAGGTAGAGGGAGAAACGCAAACACTGAAGTGTGAGAACGGACCGTGGCTGCAAATCTCACTTCATCTCATTATATGTTGTAACTAATGTCTTCTCCATGGTTGATTGGAGGACCAACAGCAGTACAGGCAACAGACTAGTTGTTCCACATGTTTTGGATGCTGCCCCCTGGTGACAGAAAACACCTACAACTTGTAGGTGATGGTCTATGAAGTTATGCATAGGCCCGACACACAGCTAGGCCAGATTCCAAAGAGATGTAATTATTGGTGATCTGAAAGTTTGATCTGTTTTTTGTGCTTTAGAACAGTTTGGTTTGGGTTTCAGCTTTCAAACATGCATATGATAGAGGTGGTTAGATCATATGAAAGGTATGCTGTCACTTTTTAATTTTGAAAGTGCTTGTTTGAGCTTTTTTTTTTTCAAACTCTACTCTTTAAGAATTAAGTTCTTAAATATCGTCCACTTCAGTAAATGTTATTCTGTTTAAACAGGGTGACATAAACAGTCAGCAAGCCATATGTAATCCAGTATCGATATTCAGCTGATATATTGGTCTGTTCATACTTTGGTTATACATGATATACTCTCTGATCCAGCTGTGACAGGTTCAGGTGACAGAGGAAATTACAAAATGCATTTTCTGTAGACAGTAACCGGAAAAATCACCATATGGGATAAATGGTTGGTCAAAACAAATCACTGTATCTGTAAGATTCCCCTTTTCCTACATTCACTCTGTTTCAAGTTTTCAAATTTAGTCGTATCTTTACATGATTGTAGTTTTCATCTATGAAATTAAGGGACAACATTGGTGTTCACATGTTCTTTATGATAGTTTAGACTTATTACACTGATCAACCAACTTTGATGTCCTGAAACAGTTTTTTAAAATCAATTTTCATTGATATGAACTCAAGTGCCCGGATCACAGAGGCCCTCAGGATCAGTGGATGATGTCTCCATAGTTTGGCGAACATTCAGTTTGCGACTATTTTCCTTTGGCATAAGATGGCATGTTGCCTTTACTCACTTTACCAAAATTTATGTGGGAGCAACTAATTATGACTCAGACAAATGTGACAACTTTGTTCAGTGCAGCATCCTCTCATACTCGTGTCATTCATTTTGTTCTCTTTTTTCTTTCCCTTCCTACTTCAGCTGCATGCTCCAGTCCTCAACTCCCTCCTCGAGCTCTGGTGGCTTCAGGGAGCCGCTGCCTCCCCCAGAGCCTACAGTGGAAGCCAGCGGATCCACACAAAACGAGGAAGACCCATTGACACAAACCCAGGCCGCCAAACCTGCCAGATCTGACCCGGGCAAGGTGCCTAAATGGCTCAAACTTCCAGGTCAGGACAGAAAATAGAGCACACATACAAAGAGAAAGGATCTGTGTTTAAGTAACACTGTTTTTTTGGGGTTTTTTTAATAAAGAAAAGACAATTACAGGTTACAAGGTACAATAACTGTTTCACGCATCTTCAGCAGCACATGGAATCAACCCTTGATATCATGAGTGAGGTTCAGCCAAAAAGTTATCAGAAGAAGAAAAAAAACATGGTTGATTTATTATTTCACCCCTTTAAGATCCTCTCCTCGTTCATCTATGGCCCGCTGTGCTGGACTGCTGTCATTTCACACGGACTTCAAATACATAAACATTCACATTAAAAACTTATGAGGAAAAGATTGAAAATTGATCTGAAATTAGTGAAAGAAACTCTGACATTCACAATCACGCCTCTCTCAAATCCCAGTAAGCATCAAACAAATACCAGTTTGAGTCCACTGCCTTCTTTTAGTCCTCGCTGTCGGTTTGAATAATTAAACTTCCAGTCCTGCACAAAGAAAACCTGTAGGCACAGCAGAACTGCACCAAACACGTTAGCTGCAAAAGCTCCTCTAACACATTTAACTCAGAAAGAAGCATTGCCCCCCACCACCCCTTTTTTTTATTTAATGTTGAGAAAGAACAGAAGGCTTTGAGGCACACGATTCATGTCATGGTACACACACACACACACACACCAACCACAAAACCACAGCTAATAGGACATGGCTTTTTGAAAGCTGAATTTGTGATGACTCAGAGGATCAGGATGCATGTAAGGATGATCCAATTAGTTCAGGATGGTCACCCCCTCCAGCCCGTGAGACCACTACAGACACTCATCGTGCCCAGGGAGAGAGCCTGCTGCCGGGCCACATCACACAGCACGAGCCCCTGTGGTCTGTCCAGTCCCAGCGCCTCTCTGTTGTTCTACTGTGGTTGTCTCTGGTGGTCACCGTATTGATGTTTTTGTTTGGTACATGGCTCTCTTCTTCTCTGTCTTCATCTTGTTTGTGTTTCTGTTCATTTTATTTCTGGCTGATCTCCGTGTGTGTCCTTCCGCATCTCTGAAGAAAGTCGTGGCTGTTTTGTCTTTCATGAGGAAAGTTAAAAGAAAAAGTGGGGAGGCTGAATCAGGAATTATAGATTCCATGTGTGGACCACTACAGAGGACACACACACACACACACACACACACACACACACACACACACACACACACACACACATAGAGCATATGAGGCTTGTTGGCATGTCTTCGTTAGTGTGTTCAGTAATGGGCAGAGTGTTTTGATGCTTTCCCGAGGATTCGGCATTAGAGCCAGCACACTTGTAGTGTTCAGCCTTCTGGCGTCTTTCTGGCCCTCGATTAAAGCCCGGCATCTTTTAAACTAAACTTCTTCTCCTTCCTGTTTCATGATGATCTGCCTTGTGTCGTGCTGACTGGATTTATTGCAGGTTTCATGCTGTGAAGGGTGTTTTGAAAAACAGCGCTGGGGTGGATGATACCAGGTTTGTTTTTAACTGGTTTTCATTGCATCCAGGCTCGGTGTTTGTGTATTGATCTGGACAACAAAGCGTGTTTAACATATTCAGGATATGTTTTCCTTATCTGCCTTAATTCACTCTGTCATTAATCAGCACTTGAAGGCAGTCATCAACTTTCTGCGTGTGCATTTTAAAGGACAAGTTACAAACAGTTTACTCCTAAATATCTGTCTTATTGATGCTTGTTGGGTAAAGAAAAAGCTTTTGATGGTCTCTGTGTAACTTCAGATTCAAAATGAGACCGTGGTGAGGTATGTTGTAGGAGTGACAGATGAGTTCAAGGTGGGTGTGGGATCACATCGGGGATCTGTTCAGAGCCCCTTCTGTGTTTGCAGTGATAATGGACAGGCTGAGATCAGGTGGGGGTCTCTGTTGAATATTGTTTTTGCGGATGACGTCTTGATCTGTAGTCAGAGGAAGCAGCAGGTGGAAGAGAGCCTATAAAGGTGGAGGTATGCACTGGAGAAGAGAGGAACGAAAGTTAGTCCAAGCAAGGCAGAACACGTGTGAAAATGAGAAGGAGGCAGGAGTAACAGTGTAGAGGTAGTGAACCTAACGGGTTCAAACACCTGGGTTCAGCCATTCAAAGCAACGGCCAATGTACAAAAGAAGTGAAGGGGAGAGTGCAGGCAGGATGGAGTGAATGGCAACGTTTAAAAATGACAGTGAGAGCAGCAGTGATGTAAGGTTGTGAGACAGTACCACTGATAAAAAGACAGGAGGCAGAGCCGAAAATGCTGAGCTTTGCATTGGGATTGATCAGAAAAGACAGGATTAGAAATGAGTAGACATTTCTCAGCTCAGGGACAGCTCCAACTGAGGGTGAGGACGAAGTCAAGGATGGCCTCCGGCCCTGTGCTGCATTTTTTTTTTTCGCCCCCTCTCGCCCCATTTTCCTGTCTCTCTTTACTATTTCACTATCCTATAAAGGCAAAAATGCCCCCCGAAAAATCTTAAAGATGTAGACACACAGTCTCAAGAAATATATATATTGAGCTGTAAATCAGCTGTTACTGCTGGCTCAAAAGATTTGCATGCATAGAAACACCACTTACTAACAAAAGATAAAATTACATGGTAAAAGAAAGGGACAAGGAGGAGGGGTAGCTAAATGGGAGCTAAGAGAAATACTGTGTATATTTTTTGTTGGCAGTGCGTTTAATTCCTGCTTTCCGTTTCTTCTACAGGTAAGAAGTAAAGCTTCTGCTGTGCTGAGGACCCACCATGACAGACTGATGCAACTTAAATGTTCGCTATGCTTCACTAGAGGCTCAGCTTTGTGACCTGCAGTGGATTTAATCCATCAGAGCTGAAGCCGGGGTTTTAAAATGGTTAAAATAAAGATTGAAATGATTGAATGCGTTAATTGTCAAGAAGATCGGTGTGTTTGATTCCTGCTGAGAGAAAAGTGAAGTGCAAAGTGAATAAAGATTGATGAACAAATGTGTCTGTTGTATTGAATTTGAATTATGCTAGCACTTAATCAAATGGTGCCACATCTAGGTAAGTTTGATCAGGATCTGCAGTTAACATTTTCACCATCACCAGGGTAAAGGCTGAATATAATAATGATATTTCTCTTGTTTATTTATTCGTTGCTGTCTACTATTCATATTTTATTCCAGTAAAGTTGGTGTGGAGCACCCACAATTTTCTTGTACATGTACAGTGACAAGGGTTGTTCTATTCTACAGTTTAGAAATGCCACAAAGTATTGGATTTTGGCATTCAGAGAAGCAGAATAAGGAGACAACATAGGTTTGTGTTGTCAGTGCACCATCTATCAAAGTTGCTACCCCCAAACACAACATGAAAAACAGCTTTGATGATTCTCCATCTGCTTGCATTACACTGCAGCCCTCCTCACAGCAGGCTTAGCAGATAACAGGTGCTGTTTTAAAGGTGAAACGTCCCTGGAGGCTTAAAGACCTTTAGCAGGAAAAGCACAGGTGAGACAAATTTCATTAACGACCGCCCATTTTATGTAAGCGTCCCCAGTGAGCTGCACACTCCACAACCTGGATCACTTTAGTGGTTTAGCAGTCATTCTTAACTGTGTTTCTCCTGCTGAGGTAAACTGTTGAATGTGTCTAGGGAGGGAAAATTTGGGTCAGTTTCTGCAGTCAGAAAATCGATGGACTATTGAAACTTTCTCAGCACATGCCGTCAAGGGAAAGGAAGGACAACTATTTCACCTTGCAGAAGTTTAAACTGGTTTTCAAGTATAATAAATGTTTTCTTCTTTTTGGATGTTTGCAACATTTCTTAAAAGTTTGCAAACTCCTATCCATCCATCTTCTCCCACTTTTTAAGGGGTTAAAGAGGGGCTGGAGCCTGCAGCTCTCATAGGGTAAGAGGCACAGTAGACCCTGGGAAAGGTAAGGAAACTTGCAGTAACCTTCCGTGCTCTGGTTGTAAATCCAGCATGAAGGACAGAGGACAGTGAGGAATGAGACCTCTTGGTCTTCTGCTTTCTGACTGGTTTACCCCCACTGCCATTTCTTCTGCCCCAAGCAACCTATCACCTTTTGCAACGTATTTACCTTCAAAAATATCTTTCTTCAGTCCTCCTTCTCTCTTCCTCCTCGTCGTCTGCACTGCTGCAGGAAGCAGCGTATGACCACCCAACACAAAGCAGCGGCAGTCATCAAAGTGATGAGCAGGACAGCGCCTGTGTCCAAGCTGTGGTACTGGAACCAGTTCAGATTATGTGAAGCCAACCGCAAATGCCTAGCTCCACCATGTCGCATAACAAACTCCAACCAGAAGACGGCAGTATTCAGTGGCGTCACCGGCTGGTCGCGGTGCACCGCCGACAGACGCTGCATGCTGGTCTTGTAGCTGTGCATCATGGGAAACGTACAGGAAGTCACATGGCTGTTTCATTGTTAAACAAAAGTGCACTTTTAATGTGACGGAGCAGGGTCAAACACAGGAAATCAAAATTTAGTAACAGGTCCAAGTGCATGGAGATCGGTCTTTGCACAGAAATGTACATAAAATACCTTTTTCACAGTATAATCACCCTTACCTTGGCTGGTTGACGATGGCATGCAGTGCTTCTGCCAGCTCCTCGGCTGTCACTTTGTTGAAGTCGAGGACGATGGCAGTGCCGAGGTGGCTCATACGGTTAAGATTATAAGACTGATCGCCAAACACCGGCAAGCCGACCAGAGGCACGCCGTGAAACACAGCTTCGTACAGACCGTTAGTGCCGCCATGAGTCACGAATGCTCGTGTCTTCGGGTGACCTGAGGGGGGGAAATAAACAAAACTGTAACTGTGAAAGAACCAAACAAATATTTTTGAAAATGTTGGAAAAAATAGGCCGTGTTAGGCTTTTCTTTTGAAATCACACTGAGCTAAATCAAGGTGAAAAGGTTCGCTTTGACTGAAGAAGTGCTTTGAAACTGAAATTCAAGTTTTGCTATTTAAATTTTTTTTTTTTAAAAATGTGTTTCAGAAAACAAATGAATTATTTTGTTGTGGGCGTGTATCAAGAGGAAGAGGCGGGGCACAGACTGATGTTTGACAATTTATAAATTAGCAGTTTGGTTGAAGATGGCCACCACTTCCCAGGCTGACAGCAGCCAACAGGTAAACACTATTTCTGATTATTCTATGATGGAATATATTAACAGGTGAATGTTTGTACCATGTTAATATACATATGTTTAAAAATGTATTATGGCGTCTTTAATTTGCAACAAATGTGACACAGGAGCTGTCTATCATTAGTCTACGCCCTGTCTCTCCCCCTGGTTACACGCCCACAACACAAAAGCAAGGTCACAAGTCTGAAACTTAAAAAAATTTGATTAGAATTATTTTAATTCATTTCTCTTTTTAAAAACATTTTTTATTCATTTTAAACACCACAATAAAATCAGTTTCTAATCACCTTTTCAATTTAAAAAACAAAAACCCCCTTCCATACAATCCTATAATAACATAAATGAGTCACACCGAGCAGATCGTTCTGAGGGATCCAATCAGAAATCTTTATGTTTGGCGCAAGTGCAGGTGGAGCTTCACCACGGTGACGCCAAATCACCTGAAAGGAATGATATACTCATTGGTTCAAAGAACCAACAAACAGGTAAAGTTCTTGCACTCAAAGCACTTTACTGAGCTTTCCTCATTCATCCATTCGTACTAGCACTTTTTCAATGCTTAAATGCTTTAAATACATTCATTCTGCAATGGGTGCAGTGATATGATAACCCATATTCTGTTTGCCTGTGAGTGCCCTGACCTTCTGAGGGATTCGTCCTAAGGCGGTGGCGATGACGTTGGTGCGCTCCATCGTCAGATTGGGTACCATGGAGCCAAAAGAAACAACGACTACACCAGGATCACCTGAACTCTGCACAAAAGCCTCCAGGTCCTGTAAGGTGTGACATCATCATTACATCATCATTTAACTGTGTCATTTCAGAATACAAGTACTGTCAATGATCAGAGTCCACACCTCTGGCAGCTGATTGGCGGGTCTGCAGTTCAGACCACCCACGTGTTTGAAGTTGGGTGGGGTTGGCCGTGGCGTATCGATGTCCCAGAACGTCCTGATGAGCCACACGTCAGCCTTCCCCAGAGTCTCACACACACTGGTGGGAGTTCCTGTTTATACAGCAAATAAGGAGTATGACTTCAAAATAAAAGCTTGGATTAGTTTACTTTTATTCCTTATGCCTCATGAATTCAGACAGACGATGACATCAGTATGATTTCACCTCTGACCTTTAATCTCACTGTAGTATTTATCCATCGTCAGCTTCCAGCCCAGTTCGGTTAGCACTGATGACGCCACATATGTCACCAAGTTGATTAGTCTCTCCGTGAACGTCATGTGGTCGTTGTACAGCACAGGAGCTACCGGGACATAAGACGGCAGAAACACAGCGTGGCCACAGTGACGCTCAAAAACACTGCCTAAGCTCAAGCGTAGCGAGATGACGAGCGGCACGCCGAGCACATCAGCCACCAGGTCGCCACACATTACCAAGGAGTCAAGTAGGACGACGTCGAAAGCGGCATCCCGCAGAGTTGCCATCAACTGATCGTTCTTTAGAATCCCGTCACACTGCTGCCTCCCGAAGTCCAAGCTCCGCCCCATGAAGTCGATCAGCTTCATGGCCACTTGCAGCATTGAGGGGTCGTGCATGGAGAAGTGGATGAATTCCTCAATGGGGCTCAAATATTCCTCCTTGCTGTATGGCACCTGCAGGGAAAAAAACAAAACAAAACCCCCTGATCAAGTTATTGATTCTTGTTAAATATCAACACTTCACAGTTCTTTTGATTCCTCATAGGGATCTGATGGAAGACAACACACTGCTCAGCAGTATCAGTTATCGCCTAGTAAGGGTGTGTTGTGAGTTCAAAGACAAGCACAAACAAATAATGAAAACAGAAAAAAATAAATAAGACTGAGGTCCTATATCAGGAGGCTTCCATGGTAGTGAACATTCACTGAAATAATATTAAATCAATATCAGATTATCAACATTATTTTAATTTATTCAATGCTGAAATCTGACATTTTTCATCACATTTTTACATTTAACATTGAACCAACAAGGAAATCAGGATTAAAACAGGACTTTGCAGGTATTTCAATCAGTATCAAACCACTGCAAATTATTTAAACCTGTGGGAAAAAATATTATGCATCATGTAAAAAAAGGATAAACATTATCTGTAAACCATTCTGTTACAATTTAACAGTTTTTAAATATTTTTAAGCATAAGGGTTTATCTAATATAAAAATGACAATGAAGATCTTTGCATCACTTAAGAAAAAAGTTTATTTTATAAAAACATTATTTTCTTTAAAATATTACTTTAAATTCCCTGTTTTTTGTTTACACCAGGATGGAGGTGGATATCTGGCGTCCTGCACCACCCAGCCAATCTGGAGCACTGCCTGGGCAAAGGAAAATTCAGAAACTCAATTTACCCCCACCTGCTGAGTTAGGCCATCTAAAATAAAAAATCAAAAGCACAAGAAAGAGAGGCTCATCTGAACTCAGATGATAGCCTCTAGCCAAAACTCTTTAGCAGGGAGAAAGTCGACACACTACTAGGCATATTATCATGAAAGGCAGACAGCCTTTAGAGAAGAAAAGAGAGACTGGCCCACGTGCTGGAGTGCTGGAGTGCCACAGTTTAACAGAAGGTACAAGGAACAAATTGCGGCATTACTTTGTTAACCTGTTCACTATATTCCAGGGTGATAAGAATTAACCAAAATATTGCAATGAAATGGCTTTCACCTCCTCTTATTGGATCTTCCAATGATGATCTGCTGCTGTATGTACATACAGCAGCAGATCATCATTAAGCAGTTTAACCAAACTGTCCACTGCATCCTAACTGTGAGGCAAAACCTCAGCATCAACAGGTTCAGTGGAGCAGGACTGACAGAAGCCTTTGAACTCTTGATGGAGGTCCCTTGCTTCTCTTGTCAGCTCTGTCACCATGATTATCAGTTTTTGTAAGGCACCATCTGTTGACAAGAATAAGAAAACTGAGAAATACTGGCTTGAGACGTTTAAGTAGTTCCATCTGCTAAAATTGCATACAAGTTTCTCTTGTTCACTTATGAATAACATCCTATGTAAAATGTCAAAATACAACATTTTAGGACTTTAAAAGTTGCCTCACAAAGTTTCTAGAATCTAAAAAGAGTCAAAATAAAAGAATAATTGAGAAAACTGAAGTTAGTGATTAATCTTAATTTGTGTTTTAGTGGTAAAAATTATAATGAAATTGTGATAAAACTCATTTTCAAATACCTTTGGGATAGATACAGTGGGATGCAAAAGTCTGGGCAACCTTGTTAATAGTCATTATTTTCCTGTATAAATCGTTGGTTGTTACAATAAAAAATGTCAGTTAAATATATCATATAGGAGACACACAGTGATATGAGAAGTGAAATGAAGTTTATTGGATTTACAGGAAGTGTGCAATAATTGTTTAAACAAAATCAGGCAGGTGCATAAATTTGGGCACCACAAAAAAAAAAAAGAAGAAGAAATGAAATCAATATTTAGTAGATCCGCCTTTTGCAGAAATTACAGCCTCTAAACACTTCCTCTAGGTTCCAATGAGAGTCTGGATTGTGGTTGAAGGTATTTTGGACCATTCCTCTTTACAAAACATCTCTAGTTCATTCAGGTTTGATGGCGTCCGAGCATAGACAGCTCTCTTTAACTCACACCACAGATTTTCAATAATATTCAGGTCTGGGGACTGAGAAGGCCATTCCAGAACGTTGTACTTGTTCCTCTGCATGAATGCCTTAGTGGATTTTGAGCAGTGTTTCGGATCGTTGTCTTGTTGAAAGATCCAGCCCCGGCGCAGCTTCAGCTTTGTCACAGATTCCTGGACTATGGTCTCCAGATTCTGCTGATACTGAGTGGAATCCATGTGTCCCTCAACTTTGACAAGATTCCCAGTCCCTGCACTGGCCACACAGCCCCACAGCATGATGGAACCACCACCATATTTTACTGTAGGTAGCAGGTGTTTTTCTTTGAATGCTGTGTTCTTTTTCCTCCATGCATAACGCCCCTTTGTTATGACCAAATAACTCAATTTTAGTTTCATCAGTCCACAGCACCTGATTCCAGAATGAAGCTGGCTTATCCAAATGTGCTTTAGCATACTTCAAGCTGCTCTGTTTGTGCTGTGGGCGGAGAAAAGGCTTCCTCTGCATCACTCTCGCATGCAGCATCTCCTTGTGTAAAGTGCGCCGAATGGTAGAACGATGCACAGTTACTCCATCTGCTGCAAGATGATGTTGTCGGTCTTTGGTGCTGGTCTGTGGGTTAACTCTGACTGTTCTCACCATTCGTTGCTTCTGTCTCTCCGAGATTTTTCTTGGCCTGCCACTCCGAGCCTGAACTTGAACTGAGCCTGGGGTCATGAAAGCTCCTCTGTAGTTATCCAGGAGCTAGGAACAATTTCTGTGTCACTAATACTGACCTGCATAATGAACCACTTCATGTTTTTTGGTTTTTTTAAGTTATCCTGTCTATGATAACTAGGGGGAAAAGAATAAATAATGAGTTCATTAACTGGCTTTAGAGCTTGATAAAAAAAAAAAAAAAAAGATTAATGTTTGACAAGGATGGCAATCAATGTTGTGCTGTCAGGGCATAAAGGATATTTCCTAGTAAGGTTTTGGAGCTTTGTTACACCAAGCCTGCAGTTCAACCGCCACACTCGGTAGCATCCAATTCTGGGGGTACTGGAAGTAAGACTTGTTATAACAAAACCTTCAGAAAAGTATTAGCATGTTTCAGCAGTGCCATCTACAAATTGTACTCCTTAAGACAGGGTGCACTTTTCAGTTACTACCTTTCTGTATTGTTCTGAATGGCCTATCTGAGCCACAAGTGCATCATAATGCAGGTGCAGTAATCTGTGTCCTTTTTTCAGTTGTGACACCTTTACATGAAGCTTTTCTGAAAACCTTTTCACAGTTTGTTCTAAAAACAAGTGAAGCTTGTGCAAGAAATTTAATTTTCATAAGGAAATCCTGAGAGTTATCTAAAGGCCTAAAGAGTCCACCAGCTGTATCCAAACCAAAATGATGGTATTCCCCACCATCCATGTTTTATCCCTACCATCCATCTTTGGGTAATTCTGGGTGAAACACATGCAAAATGCCCAAGACTGCAGTCAGTGCCACTAAAGAGACTGAAAATGTTGAAGCACAGTATTTTAAACTTGTTATTAGGAACTCAGTAGTTGGAGCTTCAGCACCACCATCAGTATCAGTATGATGTGAATCAACAGCTGATGTACAGCAGTCGTGAGCTCTGTCCAGTGATACAGAAGTCTCACTGACTTCTAAACTCAGCTAATAGTCCCTGCCATTTCTTTTAACTGGTGGCTTGTGTGCAACTGAGTGACAAATGTCTGAAACCCCCGACTCCACGCCAGCATTGACCTAAGGTTGCACCTCGTTGACCAATGTAATTCCAGTATGAGTGCTTTTAAAAACCAGTTAAAAACTTTTCTATTCAAACAAGCCTTTTGTTGATCTACGTATTTTATATTCTTTACATTATTTACATTTAACCTCTTACATTGTGTATAATGTCTATTGATTGTACTGTTTATTTTAATCTTTGTGTACAGTGCTTTGTGACTGCCTGTCTGTGAAAAGCGCTTAATAAATAAACTTTACTTACTTACTTACTAGTAGTGTTGTGCAAGTTCAGACTTTTATAACAAAGGATATTTTAAGGACTTGTTTTAAGGACTTGTTTATCTTACTGTGCTTAACTGGAATCTGAAATAAGACAATGAAAAGATGTTAATAAAAAGAGGGAGAACATAAAATTCAAATACATACTAATTACTTACACATTATCCCCCAGACGTTTCTCGCAAATTCCAATAAAATTTCACCTTCACAATTCCACCCCTATAATACAGTTAAAATACTCTAATTATCTGAGTGTTAGGTTTGTTTTAATGAAAGAGCCCTGAGAATTAATCTAAAGAACTGCTGCTTTATTTCAATCGTTCCACTACTAGTACTTGTGTCTAACAGCTGACCTGTCAGATGTGTAGAAGAACACAAGTTTAAAGTTACCCATTGTCCAAGTATTACTAGCTTTTGCCTCTGAGCAGTGCTGTGTGTAACCTTTTCATTATTAAAGTCAAAGAAAATAATATGATAGACACCTGTGTGCAGCATCAATAAGTTTAAGCTGTTTATTTAAAATCCTAAGAAACTAGCAGGGTTGGCTCTACATTTCAAGGCTGTTGATTACAAATATCGATAACACCGTGTAAATTACGGTACAAAGTGCGTAATTGTAAAATAATAAAAACGTAGTTAGAAAATAACATTTTGAAGCAACTTTATAGCCAGCCATTCTTTTTCGCTTATCCTCATCAGGGTCACGGGTGTGAGGCTGGAGCCATAGGGCGAGGGGTGGGGGGTACACCCTAGCTAACAACTTTATAGCATCATTGCTAATATAGCTAGCTAGCTTTATGGAAGGAAAATTCTGAAAATTATGACATGAAAATGTAATATTTTCTCAGATATTGTGTTGTCTAAGAAAAGCATACTTTTCTCCTTCTGTTTAAGCTAACTTGCCCTACTATTTTGTATGGGCTAATTTTAAAAATCAGTGTTATTCTAATGTCATTACTACTACATCGCCAGGTAGCTCTGACGTCACGTAAGAACTACTGCTTGTTATCTGGGTTTCCTCGGAAAATCTGAAACCGAGTAAGATCTGAAGCCCTGGATTGTGTCTTTCAGTTCTGAAGAGTTTATTCTGTTTTTCTGATCAATCTGAGTCTCTTTACTTCTCTTTCTGTTCTCCGTCAGGCTACAAACACGCTGTATAACCGCCAGTGTTACCTTGAAAACCAGGAAGTTGAACTTGGCGGCGTCGCGGCTGTTGTTGTAGTTGACAGTAGGCGATGCATCGGGCACTAGGATGGTGACCGAGTGGTTTTTCTTTACCAGCTCTTCTATGATGGTCCGCATGTTCAACCAATGGCTGAACTCTCCCGGAAAAACCAGAGCATGGCCTCCGTGTACTGGAGCGACAGAATGAAGGAGCAGGAGGGAGAGGGGAAGAAGAAGAAGAGGATACGTGGGAACCTGCATCGTGTGTGAAACACAAAAAGATCCCCAGTGTGTGAGAAAAATCTAATGTCAGATTGCAGCTGCAGGTCCAGAGTGTAGTCTGCCTAGAGGTCAGCTACGAGTTAAGAGCTGCACTCTGACTGGACGACAACACACTGTGATCTACAACTGTAAAACAAAAAGAGGGGCATGCCAAGTCGTGTTTACTCTCACATTCCTTAAAGCAACAGTTATCTTAATCGAAGACCTAAAGGCTTCCTCTGAGCCCATGCCACCTGAAAACACAAAACACGTTTATATTCATAGTTCCACTCACATTTTCTCTGATTTCTCTGATGTTTATCAGTCAGTACTCAGTTCGGATACAAATATTTACAGTAGGTGACTCTAACCAAAGCCTCAGAATTGCATTTCATATCTGACAGTCTGTGAAAATATAAATAACACCACTCAGAGTAACAGTGTTTGCTGAAAACCCTCTTCTGTGTGACCAACTGTCAGTAATATTTAGAATAGTGAGCAACACAGCACCCAGGAAAAACTCCAGTACTGAAGATTATTTTGAAAATCCTTTATTTTTACAGGTTTCTTACTGAGAGCTTTATACCTGTGAGAATGTTCTAGTGGAATAGGAGAGCTTTATGAGAGCTTTATGGGCTTTATGCTTTAATGTGAGACTGTTTCTGTATAAAAATCCAATTTTAAATTTAGAGTTTTGATATGTATTCAGCATGAGGTTTATAGCTGAAAGGTTCGGATATAAACAGATGGGTAGAAATCCTAAGGTAACCCCATCAACAACATTACTCAGTTTCATCAGAGTTTAGAACACATTTATGATAGATTACAGATTTATTAAAAGCACATTAGTTTTCCAAATAAGGCGAAGAACCAGTAGTGTAAAAAACACTGTCGCCAGCATAAAAATGTACATTACCTCAGTGTAATACCGATTATGTCAGTAACAAAAGAGATATAAGGATGGAGCCCTGTGGCACATTTTAGTGACTGAAAGAGAGCCAAACATTGGAGACTAAGTCCAACCAAACATGAAACCATTTAATGCAGTGTGTTAATCTGTGTCCAAGCTGCGCCACTGTAACTAGATCAGGTTATATGCAGACGCCGAGCTTCACCATGCTGCATCACATACTCCACCCAGAAAACAGTGGGATTCATTTGCGTCACTGTCTGGTCATGCATCGCTCCTCCCTGAGCCCAGTTCTGTTGGAGGTTTCTTTCTCTTAATAGGGAGCTTTTCTGTCACCAAAGTGCTTGCTCATAGGGGATCATATGATTGTTGGGGTTTTCTCTGTTTCCTTTGTATTATAGGGGGTTTATATTGTAGGGTCTTTACCTTACAATATAAAGTGCCTTGAGGCAACTGTTGTTGTAATTTGGCGGTATATATAAATAACATATATTTGTATCATTATGTACAGCTACTTTAAATACCATATTCATTCAGTCTTTGAATTCAACTCTAATTGACCTTTCCTTCAAGCTATCAAGGTGTCTACTATAGCCCACTTCTTCAAGACTAATGTGATACAAAGTGTGATGTACTGATGTCCCTGAGTTGCAGTGTTGTGGTACAGAGTGAGGGCCCAGAGGTGAACGAACAGTCCTCTTTTACTACCAACAGTGGGACAAACTGAGTGAGAGTACACTGCTGGGATGTGGACTGAGTATCTGTCAAATATCAGTGCTAACGCTAATGTCAGGGCCGCACACTGATCAGTGTATTTATGCTGGATAGCTAGTTACCTAGCACCGTTGCAATTAGCTAAAATGGTCATTCACTCTGGTTTTTGCTGCTGCTCCTCATGAGTGCAAAAGACCAACAGACCATCACGCACCAGCAGGTGGAGACACAGACTTAAGGACTGATCTGTGGCTGCTGCTGTTCATGAGGTGGGCAAATATTAACATTTATGGACTCAGGCTGTTAATTAGAATAAATAGAAAAAACATTGAAGCAACTTCATGATATTGTTTAAGTAAATCTGAATCTCACCTGCACAATAATGTGATGTAGATTTTTCAGCACATTTTTTATATGTTTAATATGTTAAATGAGAACAAGTTAGATGTCCCCAAGCCTCATTTTTCACCCCTCTGATACAAATATTTGTCTTCAAATGTTTCATAAATTCTTATAGGCCCGTCTCTTTGCTACCACAGTTCTCTTCTATACTGGAAAAGATATTTTACAATAGAATGTATCACTTTCCCACAAAAAACAATGTACTGTATGAACAGCAGTGTGGATTTAGACCCAAAAGAACCACAACACATGCCTTAATGGAATTTAAAGATACAGTAACAACTGCAACTGAAAACAAAGAATATGCTATCTGGAGTTTTTTAGATAAAAAAAAAAAAGCATTTGATAAAGTCAGTCACAACATTTTACTTAATAAACTTTGCACATATGGGGTCAGAGGGGTGGCATTATCATGGGTTAACAGTTCCCTTAAAAACCAGAAACTATTTATATAAACAAATAAATGCCATAAAATCAAAATTGAAACCTGTTGTATGTGGGGTTCCCCAAAGATAAGTTCTGTACATTACTGTATATTAATGACATATATGTGCAATTTCAAAGTCTTTGAAAATAATATTATTTGCAGATGATGCAAATTTACTGTACTGTGGAAGTAACTTGGAACAACTTCTGAATGAACTAGAAAACTAATAAATAATATGAAGACTTGGTTTGACTATAATAAATTAACATTGGACATGAGTAAAACAAAATTCATGATATTTGGGAATTGTGCATATTCTACAAATAGTAAAGTGACAATAAATAACTTTGAATGAGACTTAGTATCTGGGGGGGAAATCCGTGGTGTGATAATACATCACAAACTATCCTAGATTCACTTATATTAAAGGCAAAATATCAACGTCTCTTGCAATTCTCTACAAGGTTAAGGATCTCATAAATCAAAAATCATTATATACACATTATATGTATTGTTCTATTATACTCCCGTACATGCTATATTGTGTGTGGAAGTGTAGGGAAACACCTGTAAAACACACACCCATCCAATATACGTTCTGCAAAAAAGAGTGATAAGAACACCTGTACAGATGAAGTTAAGAAAAGTACAAAAATACACACATTTGTTTAGAAGCAATAAATTGCATGAATATAGACTTCATCCTCTCAGTGATTGAGCTGTCTCATTGTTTTCTATTGAAGTCTTCTCCTTATTTTTATAGATTAAGGCAAGAGTAAGTTAAAACATTCATTAAGGTATTTTGCACATAGATATAACTCCATATGAAGCAATGTCAAACATAACTGGTAATTAGTTACATTTACTTCTTCGAAATAAACTATTCTATCTATCTTACAGTGTTTATCATCCATCTGTTTTAGTCTATAACTATAATTTCTTCTACCTAATCCTATACACTGTACATAAGGTGTGCTTGCTGGCAAACAACCTGTCAATCACATCTCGTTTGCCAATGAGTCTAAAGCATCTCTCAGTTTCTCAGCCAGATCCGCTTCTTGTTCATGAAACCAACTCTCTAAATATCAAGATGAACTAGAAAAATTTGCATTTCCTGCGAAAATGCTGTGTGGATGCCTTAACGCTGAAGATGTCTGCTGAAAAAAGCTGAAAAAGTTGAAAAAACAAAACAAAAATCATTGCCCTGAGCAGGATTTGAACCTGGCCCTTCTGGTCTAAAGGCGGCGATTCACCTCACTGCACCAAACTCATTCACACAAAGAAGAGGTGGAGAGAGTGACAATTGTGGTGAAATTAGCAGAAGCTGCTTAGAATTGTGCTGATAAGAGGTGAAAAAGCTAAACATTTGGCAGAAAAGAGGTGAATCAGAAGAATTTCTGCTGAAAAGAGGCAAAGAAGCAAAAAGATGAGCTGAAAAGAGGTGTAGAAGCAGAAGTGCTTGCTGAAGATGGCTGTATGTGTAATGACACACTGGAGAGCAGTGACACACAAGAAAGCAGAGCGCATGCAAGCAGGGAACATGTGTAGCAACTGTCACAGGTAGGATTCAAACCTCTGCCACCGGGTCTCACGGCAGATGCCCTACCCTCTGAGCCAAATGAGTTCTGGTCACAAGCAAAGATATGATGAGAGGGACAATGTGCACTGTGGAGCAGAAGCTCAAATTAGCAGAAAAGAGGTGAAGAGGAAGAACTTTGTTGTGAAATGAGGTAAAGAAACTGAAATTTTTGCTTAAAACAAGTGAAAAAGCTGAACTCTGAAATCCTGCTAAAACAGCAGAAGAGGCTGATATTTTTCAGCTACTCATTGAGCCAAACTGGTTCTCACGTAACTGAAAAAAGGTGGAAAAGCTTACAATTCTAATGAAAACAGCAGAAGAGGCTGAGATTTGTGCTGATAAGAGGTGAAAATGCTGAACCAATCAGAGGTACTGCTTCTGTCTGCTTCATCAGGCTGTGTACTTGTATGTATTTCTGCCATAGACTGTTAACAAGAATCTGAGGTCCATATTAGAAAAGCTGCTAAAATCATAAAACTTTGCAGAATTGTAATAAATTATCAATATGAATTACCGGTCTGTGATAGTGTATAAATTTGTACTCAAAAACTAGGTGGGATAGAAGCATAATTCTTGCACTGGGTGAATCAGCGGACTTTGGTGTACTTTGACTGCGATTTACATAGCTCTTTGTATCTCTGTCGCGGAGATATGACGAGAGAAGAAATGGCTTAATTTTCGGAGTTTGAAAAATGAGAGGAGGACAGATTTCCACCCCTCAAACATGTTTTTGCAGAAACACTGTAATTTCGCTTAAATAGTATGAAATAGCAGTAATACTATGATTTGGCAGAAATACTACTTTTTAGCACAAATACTATTGTACAGAATGGTGTACGTCAGTTTAATGCTGGGTGGTGCTGCAATAGTAACTATCCTCGGTCAGAAGGAGAGGCTGACATCCAGGGATTAGATTACCACAGGTGGAGTTTATTGGCGGTCAGATGGATGGTACAGGGAGGCATGGCATACAGTAGGAGGATGTGGAGAGGTGATATGGTGTGGTTTCTATGATTAAGAAAACTGGCAACAAATTCCTCCACTACAAATCAGTCTGATACCACTTCTTACAGGGTTCACGTTTACTAAGGCACTACCCAAAAGGCGCCACAAGAGG